AAAGTCATAATTTAATTCTTACATAAATAGTTTTATTGAACTAAATGCAAGAATTTATGCAAGAATAGTTTAATGCACATCTACTTTGCTCATGTTTCATGAAGGAGGCTCACAGAGCGCAATATTCATCATATTAAATCATTAAAAGCTAGGCATAACTAGAAAAATGTGTAGTCACTTCATAAATTTGTATGACCCTGGATTTTATTAAATACAATTTTAAAATTCCTTGATATTTCTGTGGGAACCCTGAATATTTAAAAGTGAAAGAGACGGATATTGCATCCAAATAATAACTCGCACACCTCAACTGATGAAAAAAAAAAATGTAAATTTGCTGAAAATCTTCTCACCCTCAGGCCATCCAAGATGTAGATGAGTTAGTTTCTTCATCAGATCAGATTTGGAGAAATGTAGCATTGCATCACCAATGAATCCTCTGCAGTGAATGGGTGCCGTCAGAATGAAAGTCCAAACAGCTGATAAAAACATCCCAATAATCCACAAGTAATCCACACCACTCCAGTCCATCTGTTAACGTCTTATGAAGTGAAAAGCTGCATATGTGTAAGAAACAGTCCTTAAAGTGTTTTACCTTTAAAACATTGCTTCTGGTTAAAATGGTAAAAATACCAGTCCACAGTCTATAATAAGGCTTCCTCCAGTGAAAAAGTCCCTCTCTCGTCAAAATCCACCAACATATATTGGTTTCAAACTGTTTTGGACTGTTTTCGCTTGTAAACAGTGTTTGATCTGTGCATATTTCTCTCCTGATTCAAAAATGACAACCTTTTACTGGAGAAAGCAATATTATGGATAGAGGACTCATATTTTAGCCAGAAGCGATGTTTTAAAGTTAAAACGTCTTAATGATGGATTTGTTTCTTGGAAACATGCAGCTTTTCTCTTCACAAGACATTAATTGATGGACTGGTTGCTTGTGGATTATTGTGATGTTTTTATCAGCTGTTTGGACTCTCGTTCTGACGGCACCCATTCACTGCAGAAGATCCACTTGTGAGCATTTATCCAAATGTGTTCCGATGAACAAACAAACTCATCTACATCTTGGATGGCCAGAGGGTGAGAACATTCTCACCTAATTTTCATTTTCAGGTGAACTATTCCCTTAAAATGTCTGTAGAAGTGTCTAAAGCAAACAGGTAGTACGTACTCTGGAGGTCTCGTATCGGGGCCAAGGTCTCTGCTTAGTGAGATCCGATCACTGGCGTACAAGTTAAAGCAGTGCTTCTCTTCTCCCCTCTCCTTTTCTTTTTGCTCCGATGAGCTCAGATTGTCAGTGTGAAAAGCCTTCCCAGAAGCCCCTGGGGCAGTGGGGTTTTGCGGTGGTCTTTCAAGGACCGGTCGGAGCTCAGCAGCCGTGTAGTATCCGGCCAGACAGGCCAGACTGCCCTGGCTCTCCTGCTTCCTCACCGGAGCTTTTATCTGCATCTTGGGCATAGCGTCCCGGAAGTTATTCACCGCACCCATGACCATCTCAAGAACGCCGTCCCGTTTCTCCACAATCCCTTTGAGCCAGGGTTCGTCCTGGGGGCTCTGACTGACCACCTCTCGCTGCATCAGAAACAGGAATGTCACGAACACCAACGCCACTATGGCCAGCTTCCATGGGTGCAGTCGTCTGCGCAGAAGCCTGCGGAAGAACGTCATTCTTTTGAGGCGAAGGCGGCACTCAGAGTGTGAGAAACAAAGCTACACCTGACACACACCCTGTGCGTAACATCACCGCCTGTCAAACCTGTGAATGGGACAAAAATACGACACTGATATATGAGCAGCAGAGCACCGCGAACAAGTTCAACACTCCTGACGACTCGTTTGAGAACGGAAAAGTTGGGAACTCCAGTTCTGAACGTCCAACATAAATGTTTTCTTTGATATTTAAGCCTCTTTTAGGTGGCTGGGAAATCATTCTTCACTTGAGAGGTAATTTTGTAATATCGATTAAGTTCATATCCAACAAAGTTCTGAACTCCCACAGCGACTGTCCCACAGTAGAACTGCTGTCCACGGCGATGTCAAAGTGTAGTCATCTCAGCAGGACTTCCGCGTCGTTGGATCCAGGTGCGCGTCTCTCAGGTAAAGGGGCGGGACTTGCGTAAGGTGTGCGTAAGCGCCACGTGTGCCTTCATTCTGTTAGGGTGAGTCCAGCAACGTCAACATTTGAACAATTAAAAAAATGTTGCTCTTCCACTTATAAGGTTGAGTATTTTTAATAAGGGCAAAATTTAAACGAAAAAAAACTTGTCTCTTTAATAAAAATTTAAGCGGTTTTATTTTTGGGGGGTTTGTCCTTCTAGTCTCTGTAGCTTCCTCTCTATAATAAATTTATGGAAGAAATTCTACTTTTTATACTTTTCTAACACGATTGTCACGGTCTGCCGGGATGTTGCTAGTAGACAAGGAGCTGGAACGCGATCTAACAGCGTCGAATCACGAGCAAATGACTCTTCTTTTTAAAAAATAATTTATTTTAGTAATTTTCTGGGCGCAATCGCCTACGACGTTTTAAATAAAACAAAAACATTCTTATTGGCTTTAAATAAATAATCTAAAATCAACAATAAGTAACAAACTAATAACTCGCGTGCTAAGATAGACTGCATACTTTTAAGACCCCTAAGCTTTTGTTATGAATTTCTTTTAGGGATATTTAAACCTTAATTAGTGGAGTCAGATCCCCATAATGATTCGCACCCTACATTCCCTCTAAATATTTATGTTACACAAACCTAATCATCCTCAAGCGAAGGGTCCCGTTACTGGCATCACCTATTTCCATGACTCTAATAAATACATTTGTTCATGCAGAATCACTTTGCGCGACATCAGTGATGGGTGACATTCGACTACGACTACGTTAAACTCACTTAGTATCTCACTTAGACGTATTACCACAATAAATTAGCCCTATTAAACCGAAGGTAGATGTAGAAAACACTCACCAGACATGCTCAGCCTGAGGATTTTAATCACCGTGTCCCCGTGCACATGGACTTCATAAAGAGCTTCTGTGTTTGCAGGGCAAAGAAAAGAAACCGGACACGAACCGGACAAGAGAAGAATACCAGAGAGGCTCAAGAGTGTTCATCTGTAGGATACTGGAGATTTAACTTCCCGCTGTGTCGCTTCGCGTTGAATCTCTCTGTAATAGAGTTTAGTGAGAAAGTCGGACTCTTGCTGGAGGTTGACATTTGAACTGCTTGTGATGAAACTCAAGAGTTTATTATTTGACATCAAACTGATGTGGATGTATTGCACAACTGAAGTTCTTTTCACTGTCAAGCTAAAAGTTTATTCTGTAAATCTCGCAAAGCCCACATCTGAGAAACTAGATTTGGACAAATTCCAGGAAATTGATCCCTGGGTATGCTTTCATATAATTTAAAAAGTATAACAAAAAAATATATAATATATTTAAATAATAAATGTAATTATAAAGAAAGCAATATTATTTAAAATGTTTATTTATATGTTTATATATATGTGTGTGTGTGTTTATATACAGTCTTTTTAACCTTTGATGGTGTGATGTTGCAGCCAATCCATACACACACACACACACACACACACACACACACACACATATATATATATATATATATATGTATATATATGGATTGGATGCAACATCACACCATCAAAGGTTAAAAAGACTGTAGTGGACACTAGCATTAGATGGTTAAAGAGTTGTTTGTCTGTAATGGAAAAATATAAATGCCCTGAGTTCAAGTGGCACATACAACACATATTCGGGACTAAATCCATTTTGTGCTCTTGATGCCAGAAAACTTGAAGAGAAATAAATACTGCCTTATATTTGCATTTGATGAACTCTAAACAAAGCCATACATATTGCATACTGCATTGTTTAAAAAAAAAAAAAAACAACAAAAAAAACAAGAGTAGACATTATATAGCATGTGCTGTGCAGTATGAAGTAAGCAGTTTGCCATTATTCCACCCAGAATGCAGCCAAACAGTCGTATGCTACATTGTTCTCACATGACCTCACTGTTATCATCTTGGAAATAAAAAGTTGCAGTTTTGGGTAAATTTTAGGTAAAAATGTTCTGATGTTTGCCAACCAGGTCAACTAAAGAGGCAAAAAGAGACACATTGGGAATGCAAGGTCAAGCACAACTGCATTGTGGGATTCAGTATTCTGTGCAGCGTACTTTGCTGCATACAGAAAATGTGCATATATATTAAAGCAATAAGCCCCAAGAAGCCGTGGTTTACAGTGAATTTATAACAGCTAAGGTTCATTGTTAGGCATGACGCGAAGTGGCTTATTGCTTTTATAAAACGGTTATTCCATATACGTAGTAAGGTTTCACAAAATAAAACAGAGCAAATAAAGTGTAATGATATTAATAAAAACATTATTCTTCCGCTAAACAATGTAGTTCCTCAGAAACGGTTTTGGTTCCAACAAAGTGGTTGCCGAGCAACACACAGAAGTAAAGAAAGGTGTATGTTTGTAGAGTAATTTACAACAGCTTAGAACTTGTCTCAACCAATCAGAATCAAGGACCGGAACTATCCGTTTTATAATGTGGAATCTGTAGCCTGACATTAGTGTTTTCAAATGTTTATTTATATCTGTGTACATAAGGAAAAATATTGCACCATTATTAATGCTTGTTTTTAATGTTGAATGAACACTGCATGTAGTCATATCAAAATATTTCATATACTGACACTTACAAACGCAATTTATATGAAATTACAGATGAGATCACAATTGAGCAACAGCACACAACACACCAGTCCTTCTGTCATGATCTTAAAGCTGCTCTTGCTTTGTCCAAGATGTCCTTCCTGATGCGTGGATAGTTGGGGTGTGCATCCAAAACCTGAGGGTATGAGACGCAAGAAAGAAAAAAAAATGCAACAGGATCATTTAAAAAAAAAATTTAAATTGCATTTAATATATTTTTATTTTAGGCATATTTTTAGTAAAGTTTTAGCAACAGCACACAACACACCAGTCCTTCTGTCATGATCTTAAAGCTGCTCTTGCTTTGTCCAAGATGTCCTTCCTGATGCGTGGATAGTTGGGGTGTGCATCCAAAACCTGAGGGTATGAGACGCAAGAAAGAAAAAAAAATGCAACAGGATCATTTAAAAAAAAATTTTAAATTGCATTTAATATATTTTTATTTTAGGCATATTTTTAGTAAAGTTTTAAATATAATATAATAACTTATTTTTCTATGGAAAAAATGTATGGGATTTTGCTTCTGGAATCTGACTGTTGGTCTCAGTACAGTATTTACTAATTTAGACGTTTATATATTCGCAGCAGGATTTCTTGCGTACTCACTTTATGGCACACATCTATAGCATCCACGTGTCTCTTGGCCTTCAGGTAATTGAACGCGAGCTTGTAGCCTGGTAAACAAACATCATGCTGATGTCAATAAGAGATGTGAACACACACACATGAGAACAGTACAGAGCGTCTGAGGGGCTTTAATCTTACCGATAGTGGGGTTGGTTTGATTGCTGTACTTCCAGGCCATTTCATAATTCATGGCAGCATCTCTGAACGACTGCTCCTTCTCCATAATGTAGCCCATGTACTCGTACGCCTTGCAGCAGGACTGATATAAAACACGTTAAGACGTCATTCTGTAACCGTTTTTAATATTTTGGAGACTTCAAAATGTTTGCAAGCAAGTTGTTGTTTTAGGGTTACAGCACACTTTTGGTTTGTTCATCAAGTTACAAATAAAAAGAGAAAATCAAAAGTGCTGAAGATTTAATTCACTGGATCATCTAAAAAGAGCCATTTTCCCCAGTAGTCACTCATTTTAACTCTTAAATCTCATTTTTATAATCAAAATGGCATATTTAAACATTTGTCTCATGAAAATAATTTCTTCATGCCTTGAATATAACTCTGCACCCTTACCTCATTTAGTATACACAGTTTCATGAATATTTAAATGAGTCCCCGCCTCCATTCAATCGCACCATCTCTGACTACATGCTTCATTTTTGCTTTGTTAACTGTTCATGTGTTTTGGAGGCGTGGCTTTGGAGAGTGATTTGCAGGGAGGGTGGGATCTTATGCTTTCAAAGCTTGCTATTGTTAGCCTCTCAGAAATCACCTACCCTACCTTTAAATATACTTATCTCTTACTATTTTTCAGCTGAATTCCCAGCAGAAATTGTGATATATATACTGCAGCTGAATGAATTCAGTGTCACCTTGTTGTGTCGTAGGCATCTCTTCAGCAGCTCTCCTGCCATGTCGTATTTTCCCGACTGGATGTAGATGTCGGCCAGAAGCAGCCAGCTCTTTTCAAACTCGTCCGCGTCTATGATGTTCCAGTTCATCTTGGCGATGCGTTTGAGCTGGTTTCGGGCTCGAGGGGTTTGCTTCAGGATCATGTAGGCAGTGGCCATGGCCAGCAGCGCAGGGACATGATCCTTCTGTAACGAACAAACAGACATTTAGAGGTAGTTGAGTAAATGTCGTTGTGAAGCATTAAAGAAGAGGGTTGAACAAATAAAGGTAAAGTTTGGTGTAAGTGATACTGAAATGGAGATTTCTGACTTCCTGAGTTCTTGAGAAACGGCCTTTAAAGATATGTATTATAACTGAAATCTACAGACACAAATAGACAAAGTATAATAAAATAAACACCTAAATGGGTATTTTGGAGGCTTTCTTTCTACTAGTCTGAAAAAAAAAAACATGTTATGGAAGACCAGTGCCTGAAAAAAAAGTTTTGCCTATAGTGTCTTGTCTTTATAGGAGATAAACAAGCCTGCTGAATATCATGTATTGTTTAAAGGGATAGTTCACCCAAAAATGAAAATTCTGTCATTAATAATTACTCACTCTCATGTTGTTCCAAGCAGGGGTTCAACCGTAATTTTAAGAAGCTACGAGAATACTTTTTGTGCGCAAAAAAAAAAAAACGACTTTATTCAACAATTCGTCTCCTTTGCGTCACCCTAGGCATGGGCGACATTTGACTCTTGAGTCAGGGGGGGCAAGAAAAAAAAAGCATAAATAAATAAAAGCAAAATATATATTTTTTTCGGATGTAAGCATCAAAACAATGCCCTACCTTATTGCAACGCATCAAAGCAGTCAATCCAACACAGTCAAGAATAATTTAAAGAGGTTGCCACCGTTTAGTAAACTGTGGACTAGCTTTGGCTCTTGCTGCTGACTTGAATGGTGATGCTTCCCGTTTGTCAGTTGATGGCCTTTCATTTTTAACCAGAAATGTGCACGCTGCTTTTCTGATGTTCACTGAAGTTTTCTGTGTCTTTTTCCCGTGTCACTTGAAATGTTTCCGTTTTGAATCGTTGTTACTAAAGGCGAGACACGTGAGGAAAAAATAAACGATCAGTTGTGGGACTATATTCTATCATAAATCGCATACCATTCATTGCTGAACTTTCTACTGTCCGTTACTGGAAATGGAATTAAATTACTGGAGGCTGCTTTCACATATATTTTATGTTCAGTGCCAATCACTAGTCTGAAAAAAAAAAACATGTTATGGAAGACCAGTGCCTAAAAAAAAAGTTTTGCCTATAGTGTCTTGTCTTTATAGGAGATAAACAAGCCTGCTGAATATCATGTATTGTTTAAAGGGATAGTTCACCAAAAAATGAAAATTCTGTCATTAATAATTACTCACTCTCATGTTGTTCCAAGCAGGGGTTCAACCGTAATTTTAAGAAGCTACGAGAATACTTTTTGTGCGCAAAAAAAACAAAACGACTTTATTCAACAATTCGTCTCCTTTGCGTCACCCTAGGCATGGGCTACATTTGACTCTTGAGTCAGGGGGGGCAAGAAAAAAAAAGCATAAATAAATAAAAGCAAAATATATATTTTTTTCGGATGTAAGCATCAAAACAATGCCCTACCTTATTGCAACGCATCAAGGCAGTCAATCCAACACAGTCAAGAATAATTTAAAGAGGTTGCCACCGTTTAGTAAACTGTGGACTAGCTTTGGCTCTTGCTGCTGACTTGAATGGTGATGCTTCCCGTTTGTCAGTTGATGGCCTTTCATTTTTAACCAGAAATGTGCACGCTGCTTTTCTGATGTTCACTGAAGTTTTCCGTGTCTTTTTCCCGTGTCACTTGAAATGTTTCCGTTTTGAATCGTTGTTACCAAAGGCAAGACACGTGAGGAAAAAATAAACGATCAGTTGTGGGACTATATTCTGTCATAAATCGCATACCATTCATTGCTG